TCCTCCTCCTCCTCCTCCTCCTCTTCCGCTGCCCTTGTTTTGGGGAGCAGCCGCAGGCCGAAGGATCTCACCGTTTCTATTGAATCCCCCAACAATTAACTGGAACCCGATCGATGTTCAGGGCCGTCTTTTCTCCCACGGAGATTGCCATGGCAACAGAGGCAGGAGTGGGCTGGCGGCCCCCAAACAGGGAGGCACCTGAGAACGGGACTCAGGACAGGGAGACGCCTGGGGCACGCGGAAGAGGGGGGGTCCCTCCCGAGGGAGGAGGAGGAGGAGGCCAGCCGCGGCTGGATCAGGCCCCAGGGGGCCCACAGAGCCCAGCCACCTGTTCTCCCTGCGGGCAGCCAGGTGCCCCCCAAGCAAAGCCCCCCAGCAGGACCCAAAAGCAAGTGCAGCAGAGCACTGCCCCCCCCGCCATTTCCAGCTGGTGGCGTTCAGAGCGCAGAGAGCCAGCAGGCTAGGAGCCCCAGAAATCCTTGTTCTTCTCCATCTAAGTCTCATTTAAGTGTGCTGGACCGGGGGGTAACCCAAGTAACGCAGTCCAGGTCCAGTCCCGAATCCAAGGGTCCCGCGAGGAGTCAGTCCGACAGGGCCAAGGCAGAACACGAGGCAGGAAACCAGGCAAGGTCAGGCACAGGGCCACAGGCAGGGTCTGGCAAACAGCAATGTTGCTCCCGCAACCTGGGATGGGGTCTGACAGCCTTTTATCTTTGTCGGGGTAACGGCCGGTCCTGATCCCCCGGCGACTCACCACCCTGTCTACTTTTCCTGCAAGTACTCAGGTCTCTCCTTCTCTCAGACCTCAGTCTCTGCAGCTCAGGAGACGTCGGTGGGTTACTAGACCGAGGGGCCGTCTCAGCCTCCCCTGGCCCAACTGGTAGTGGAGCAGCTGTAAGTGATGGCCCAGCTGTAGGCTGTATCTGGAGCCAGGGCAGGCTCAGGCCCCTGACTTGATGCAGGGGAACCTGTGCAGACTGGGGCTCTTCAGAATCAGGCCCCAGATGAGGTTCAGCTGCCGCCTGAGGCAAAGGATCCGGTGCGGACTGAGATTCCTCCGGTTCCGAGTCCGAGCCCCAGTCCCAGGCCATCACATTAAGGGTGTTCAATGTCTCTGGGCAGCAAATTCCATGGGGTTATGTTCGTCCACACTGGGGGGGGGGGTCACGAAGAGCTGCCCCAAAAGTGCTGCCTCTGAGAGCTGCTCCTGCTGGCGCTCCCCCCCCCCCCGGAGAGGAACCTCTTCCTACCTCACACCCACTGAGGCCACAATTCTGTCTGGCGCTGAGCTGCTGTGCCGTCCCCATCGACGAGCCCTGGCATCGAGGGCAGGCTGGCGAAAACAGCTCCAGGCTCCTTTGGGGGGTGGGAGCAGCCGTTTCCCAGCACACCCCCTTCCATCCGACTGTGGGTAAAGCAAGGAGCCCCCCCAAGGAAGAGCTCCCCCCCCCCCGCCGTTCCGTTAGCCCAGCCTCCACGGAGCACCCAGGCCAGAGAGGAGGAGGACAGGTTCAGGGGCTCCATCTAGCGCAAACAAGGCCCCCTCGCCCGCCCACCTGGCAGCATCTCAGCTCGGGGGGCCCCACTCTCTCTGGACCAGTCCCTGCAGAGTCTCCCCTGTGCCCCAACTTGGCCACTCACTCCCCTTCCTAACCTGCCTCGCCCCGTCCCAAGAGAGACAGATCCTGCACGGAAGAAGGAGCAAGACTGGTTTCAAGAGCAGGCGGGCACCGAGGGAAGGTGGCAGCGGTGGCAGCAAGCGCAGAGGGGCGAAAAGGAGGTGTTAATCAAACAGAGAGGAAGCTGCTGTGTCGCCAGATGTTTCCCTCCAGGCAACATCGTGACTCAAGCACTCGGCTCCCTCTGCCAGGAGAGGAGCCTCAGCCGCCCAGTGGGTCCGTTGCCAGAGAGGAGCGGCCGCAGCTGGGCACGGCTGTGGCGGGGAGGGCGGCAGAGCCACTCTTCGGACCTTCCCTGGCTGCAAGGGGGCCCTGCCTGGCACACCCACATCCCTGGGCATTGGCCAGGGTGAAGATCTGGGAGAGGGGGTGGCGCCAGCACCCCTTCCTAAGAGTGCCCAACACAGAGACACTTATGCAAGCCTTTGCCCTTATCAGACAGGAGCCCTGCCTGGTCAGGCTCCACACCAGAGGACGTGCCCTTGCTGAGGAGCGCAGGAAGACCCAGAAGGGATTGTGCCTCAGCCAGGAGCAAGGGCACCGGACCCACAGACCTGGGGACCAGAGGCAAGGCTGGCAAGGGGGTGGCAGCTGCTCTCAGGCACTCAATTCCACTTTGCATGTCACACGACACCAAATTGCAACTTTCAGACAATGAGGAAGAGAGAAAAGAATTACGGCCGCACCTTGGAAGTTGAACGGAATCCGTTCTGGAGGTCCGTTCGACTTCCAAAACGTTCAGAAACCAAAGCGCAGCTTCCGAATGGTTGCAGGAAGCTCCTGCAGCCAATCGGAAGCCACGCCGGACGTTCAGCTTCTGAAAATCATTTGAAAACCAGAACACTCACTTCCGGGTTTTGACCGTTCGGGAACCGATTTGTTCAGGAGCCAAGGCGTTTGAGATCCAAGGCACAGCTGTACAGGTCTGCTCCTGCGCTCCATCAAGGCTTGCTTGAGAGTCAAGCCACGAGGGAAAGAGCATTGACCCTTCAGGCAGTGACAGCTTGGCTTCCTGCTCCATGCAAAGGAGACCCCCCCCAAGCACCCCAGAGAGAGGGGCTGGCTGGGGGCAGCTGTGCAGGCAGGCTTTTCCTCACGGAGCCCACATGGCGGCAAACGTCGGCACAACAGAACCCAAACTGTTCTGCAGGGAATGCGCACGCAGAGACACGCACGGCCCTCCCTCCCACTGAGCTCGGAATCCCATAGAATCACGGAACGGTGGAGTCTGAAGGGACCCCAAATTGCAACAGCAGCCCCCTTGACATACCCCAGATCCCAAGACCAAAAGGAGCTTTCCACAAGGACGGGGGTCGGCAACCTGCGGCTCCAGAGCCGCATGCGGCTCTTTAAAGCCTTTGCTGCGGCTCCGGGGCGGTGGCGAGGGGAGGAGGCGAGGGGCGGAGGCGAGGGGCGGAGGTGACCAGCCTGCCGCCCGGCGGGCGGGGCGCCGTAAAGCAGAGCGCCCCCCTCGCCAGGCAGACATCCGCAGCGTGGGGAGCCTTGCCGGACTTCCCGGCAAGGCTCCCCACGCTGCGGATAGCAGCCTGCCGCCCGGCGGGCGGGGCGCCGTAAAGAAGAGCGCCCCCCTCGCCAGGCAGACATCCGCAGCGTGGGGAGCCTTGCCGGAGGTCCCGGCAAGGCTCCCCACGCTGCGGATAGCAGCCTGCCGCCCGGTGGGCGGGGCGCCGTAAAGAAGAGCGCCCCCCTCGCCAGGCAGACATCCGCAGCGTGGGGAGCCTTGCCGGAGGTCCCGGCAAGGCTTCCCACGCTGCGGATAGCAGCCTGCTGCCCGGCGGGCGGGGCGCCCTAAAGCAGAGCGCCCCCCTCGCCAGGCAGACATCCGCAGCGTGGGGAGCCTTGCCGGAGGTCCCGGCAAGGCTTCCCACCCTGCGGATAGCAGCCTGCTGCCCGGCGGGCGGGGCGCCCTAAAGCAGAGCGCCCCCCTTGCCAGGCAGACATCCGCAGCGTGGGGAGCCTTGCCGGACTTCCCGGCAAGGCTCCCCACGCTGCGGATAGCAGCCTGCCGCCCCGCAGGCATCGGCCAGCCCCACAAGCTCGGGGGACAGCAGGGAGGCGAAGCGCCGCCATCCCGCTGTTCCTCGACCTGGTTCAGTTTCCCCGACCTGCTTTTGGGGGGGAAATAAAGGGAAATTTTTTCCCCTTTATTTCCCCCCCAAAAAACTAGGTGCGTCCTATGGGACGGAGCGTCCTATGGGGCGAAAAATACGGTATTTTTATAATGACGAATGCCTCATTATTAATTATTATTTACATCAGGCACTGATTATGATTTATGGTACACTGGGGCCCTGATTAATTTTCTATGGCATTTTGGGGCATTGATTATTGGGCATAGCAAGTCGCGGTCGCGTGGAATTTGTGCTTTGTGACCGTTTGAAGTGGGGTTTTTTTCTTGGGAGGCTGGGCGGCACGAAGAGAGGGATTATTTTTATAATGATGAGGATGACATTGGGCCCTCATTATTAATTATTATTTACATCAGGCACAAATCTGAAGGCAGCCCTCTTTAGGGAAGCATCTAATATTTGATGAATTATTTTATTTTAACATTGCAGTGACCGTGGCAAAGTTTCTTTCGGAGGTCGCAAGGAACAAAGACCATCACACTCTAGACATAGCAAAATGACTACCTCAGTCTCTTTCATGTATTGTTTGGTTGCTTTAACTGTACAGTCATACCTCATGTTACATCCGCTTCATGTTACATTCTTTCAGGTTACGTCCCGCGGTGACCCGGAAGTTCCGGAAAGGGTTACTTCCAGGTTTCGCCGCTCACGCATGCGCAGAAGCGCAAAATGACGTCACGTGCATGCACAAAAGCCGCAAATCGCAACCCGCACGTGCGCAGACGTGTGCTGTGGGTTGTGTTCTTTTCATGTTGCAAACGGGCCTCCGGAACGGGTCCCGTTCGCAACCAGAGGTACCACTGTATCTTGTTTTGAAACAGTTTTGTGGGTCTATGGACCGCAATAAAGATATCTGATCTGTATTTGCATTTTAATATTTTGCTGGAAGCTGCCCAGAGTGGCTGGGGAAAGGCAGCCAGATGGGCGGGGTATAAATCACCACCACCATCTGCTCTGGCTTGGTGCACGAAGGAGGCTGAACCCCTAGGACCAAACCCACGACACCCACCCACCCCCACCGTTGAGTCTGGGCCTGACCCACCCGCAACCTGACACTGACAAATGCACCAAACACAGATTCCTGCACCAACACCCCCCCTTGCCGAGAGGAGGCCTGCAGGAGAGAGAGGGACCCCCCCCCCAACACACACCCCAGCGACGAGGGTCTCACCTGCGAGCAGGAAGGTGATAAGGCAAGTTTCCTTGGGCATGTAGAGCTTGAGGCGGGAGCCGCTGAAGACGTACTCCACCACGGCCTCCGAGCGGCCGGCCCGCTGCAGGAAGGGCAGAAACTGCTTGGCCTTCTGGGTGTCCTGCAGGGAGAGAGAAGAAGAGAGGGGCCCTCAGCGGCAGTCCGGCACAGGCCCCCCCACAGGGCCAAGACCCCCAGCCCTGTGCCCCTGCTCTGCCAGAAGCATAGCGGATGACAGGCTCTGGCGTGCCCAGTCGCCCAGGGGCTCTGGATCCTGGCTCAGCACCGGCTGGGGTCCCTTTGGGGCAGACCAGGGGCAGAGGCACAAGGGGGTCTCCTGGCTCTGCCGACCCCCCACAGGAGCTGCGGGCAGAAGAGGGAGAGCCCAGCCAACCGGGCTGTCCAGATCAGCTTGGCCTGCGCCAGTTGCTGTCCAGGGCTTCCAGGGAGCCTTCTGCATGCCAAGCAGGTGCTCCCCCGCTGCTCGGACGCCACGGCTCTTCCTGAGCAAGGCTCAGCTTTTTTGGGGGGCACGGGGACCACCTCGCTTTCCACGGAAACCTCTTCCCCCTCCCCACACAAATAGGCATGCCTCCTCGCAGTCGGAGGGCCAGGTTTTAACTGCTTCTGCAGCTCCTAGCAACAAGTTCCCGAGGCTGTAAGGAACTGTTGAACAGAGAGTTCAGCGAAGGAACGTAGAAGCATAGAATTGTAGGGCTAGGGGGGACCCCAGGGGTCCTCTAGTCCAACCCTTCAAGGCAGGAAGCACAGCTGAATCACAGCGCACCAGCCCCCCGCTCCAGGGCCTGGCGAGGCCTGATCTGCCTTGGCACCGAGGGAGGCAGCCTTCTGCCAGTCCCACCCAGACGCCCAAGAAGGAGAAGAGGGGCAAAGAGGCGGAGGGAACGTTCTATGCTATATGGCAGACTTGTAAAAGGGTAAAGGAGTACTGGGAAATAATCCATAATGAAATGAAAAAAGTGTTTAAAAGTACTTTTCCAAAAAAGAACAAAAAACACCCAAACAAACAAGAGTCCTTTTTGTTGGGGATAATTCAGACAAAAATTCCCAGGTGTCAGAAAAGGTTATTTACGTATGCCACTACTGCGGCCCGTGTTTTGTTAGCCCCCAAATGGAAGAAAAATGGCAACTTAAACTGATGGAATATGCACAGCTTGCAGACTTAACACATAGAACAAGAGAACAAGAACAACATACGTTTAAAGAAGATTGGAAAACATATATTGAAATACATGGGAAATAATTGCATACACCTGAAAATGTTGGCAGCATTAAGATAAATGCAACAGTGCAAGTAAGTTTTGATTGATATAATAATGGAATAGTGAATGGTGTAGTTTTTGTAAAATATGCAGGGATTTATGATACGTAAAATGAACCATGGAAAGAGAAGAAGGGAAGTAATTGTTATTTTAAGGATGTTTAAATGAGTATTTTAAATTGTAAAACAAAAAATTCAATAATACACGCACACACACACACACACAATATGAGTAGGAAAACAAGAGCACCCCAAAATCAGGGGCCGCTGCTTCTGGGTCCGGGCTGGGACTTGGAAAGGCCTCATCCAGCCTGGCTCTGTGCACTGGCTGGCTTGGGGACTTAATGATAAACTGCAGCTCGAACTCTGCAGCCTGGAATATTTCCCCACAAGGATGGAGAGTCACCAGCGGCTGATTTATTCCCCCCCCCAAAGTGTGTGTGTGTGTGTGTGAGAGAGAGAGTGAGTGCTGGGGGGGGGGGGGCGCAGAGCGCCTCAGCTCCACAGCCAGCCAGGTGGCCTTTTATTTTGCGCTCGCCTTAATTGAGAAAAATGAACTGCACAGGGGCAGCCAAGGAGGAGAAACTTGCTGCAGCCAAGGAAACTTTGCCGAGCGCCTGCCTCCCGCTCAGCCCGGAGCTGCCTGACTAGACTAGCAAAGCGCATGGGGGGGGCGCAAAGCCATCGATTGCCCGCCTCTCTCCAGCAGCAGCTGAGGCCGGGCACTGAAGAGGAGCAGCAGGAGGAGGCGGAGGAGAAGGCAGCCGCTGGGCTGGCCGGCAGGGAGGCCAGGATTCGATGGGGAGGGAGGAGGAGGAGGAGGAACCAATGAATGTAAGGGAAGCCTGCAGGATCGGGCCCATGGCCCATTTAGTCCAGCGTTCTCACAGCAGCCAACCAGATGCGCCCAAGGGAAACCTGCAAGCGGGATCTGAGTGCCAGAGCAATGGTCCCCCTCCTGTGGTTCTCAGCAACTGGCCTCCAACTGGGGAGGGAGGGCAGAGCCATCCTGGAAAGGAGCCATCGAGGAGGAGGAGGAGGAGGAGGAGGAAGGCAAGCCTGGAGGGTTGCTCCTTTCTTAAGGGGACATTTCTTGAGATCCAGGGAGGGGCCGGACTATATTTTTTGTGGGGGGGGGGCGTTATTTGCCCCACAAATAACCCAGAGATGCATTTTACCGTATTTTTCGCTCCATAAGACGCACTTTTTTCCTCTTAAAATCTAAGGGGAAATGTCTGTGCATCTTATGGAGCGAATGTGTGGTCCCTGGGGCTGGGGGGGGGACCCACCACGCTCTGGAGGCTTCGGGTTGCCTTCACTGAAGGCGAAGGCAATGTGGGAGAGGAAGAGTTGCGCAGCGCCCCTTCAGCCAAGCGGGAGGAGAAATGGAAGGGGCTCCGTTTCTTCTGCGGCTTCGCTGAAGGGGCGCTGCGCAGAGAGGGGGAGATTTATTTTTTTTGTTCTCCCCCTCTAAAACAAGGTGCGTCCTAAGGTTGGGTGCGTCCTATAGAGCGAAAAATATGGTAAATAAAAACACACATTCTACTCATGTCAAAACATGCTATTTCCCAGACCACCTGCAGGCCGGATTTAGAAGGCGATTGGGCCGGATCCAGCCCCTGGGCCTAAGGTTGCCTACCCATGGACTATATCAGGGGTCACCAATCTAAGGCCCATGGGCCGGAAGCAGCCTGTGGAGGTCATTTGACCGGCCCACAAGCCGCCCCCCAACCGAGCTGCCCCCACACACTAAACCGGCGCAGGGACTCACTTCTGAGGTGCCAAAAATCGTGTGTGGGCAGGCAGAGGCACCAAAAATCATGGGCACACACGCACAGAAGCCAAAAATCATGAAGGGGTGCATGATCTGGCCCACAGAGGGATCTCCGCGGGACCAATCCAGCCCAGGCAAGATAAACCTTGCCGCCCCCTGTGCTATATGGACAAGCTGGGAGGTGGGCAGAGGAGGGCAAACCAGAGGATGCAGGGTCTGGAAACCAGGCCTGATGAGGAACAGTCGAAGGAGCTGGGCTTGTTTCGCCTGGATAAGGAGAGGCTAATAAGAACTCAGATAGCTTAAGGGCTGCCACATGGAAAATGGAGCACATTTATTTTTTCCTGCTCTGGAGGGTGGGGCCTGAACCTGTGGACTCAAATGGCAAGAAAGGAGATTCAGACGAAATATCAGGAAGAACTTTCTGATGGTTTATATCTGTTTGACAGTAGAACAGATCTGGTAGACTCTCCTTCCTTGCAGGTTTTCAAGCAGAGGCTGGGTGGCCGTCCGTCAGGGATGCTGTAGGTGAGATTCCTGCATTGGCGGGGGTTGGACTAGATGACCCCTGGGGTACCAGCCCTATGATTCTTCGACACAGATTCCCGGCCGAGAAGGAGAGAGCAAGACGGAGAAAAGCTGCTATTATTTCAAAACCTCCCCAGCGTTAATTATCTCTGAATGGAAAGGAAATTATGCATAAATAGAATGGAGAAAAATAGAATCATAACTCTACTTTTATGTGAAGCGTTGCCAATTATGCAAAATTATGCAAGGACTTTGTGGAAGGACAGCCAGGCGGGTGCGGAGAACGAGCTTCCCCCCCCCAACCCCGTCACTCCGCGATTGTGGCTCTCGCAAGCCCCATAATGGGACGCAGCGCTGGAAGCGGGAAGGGAAGCGGACGCAGATTTGTCTTACATGACTTAAATTATTTAGTAAATTACTCCCGAGCAGGATTACATGCCTTGGAGGGGAGAGGGATCAGCCAAGACAGGCAGCGGAAGGAGAAGGAGAAGGATAGCAGTCCAGGGTGTCTCTTGCAAGCCTCGGGGGCTCAGCCCCTGATTTTGGGGGGGGCAGCGGCATTGATAGGGCTCAGAGGCCCCCTCTCTCTTTCTCTCTTCCTGGCAGGTGGCGTAAACGTGCTCAGCTGCAAGGCGGCGTCAGGTGACAACGCGGCGCATTTAATCAGATGCCTCCAGGCACCGGCCGGAATTAGATCACTTGCCCGCCGCGCAGGTTTCGAACCGCTTAGCCGCAGCCGCCTCATCTGCACAGCCAAGCTGCTCAAATGCAATCAAGGTGCCTTAATGAGGAGGCGCAGGAGACCAGGAGGGGGGCGGGGGGGGGGCAGATGCGGCTTCCGCAGCTCCGTCGCCAGCTCTGCAGCCTGGCAGGCTCCGCTCAGAGAATCCTTTCAGCGGAGGGCACGGGGCCCAGAGAGGAGGGCTGCCCACCCTTTCAGCTCATCGCTCCAGTCACCTGCCCGCCGGTCACCTTCCCCAAGGGCCTGGGAGGAGGTGGGGATGCCAGGGCTGAGCCAGGGCTGCCAGGGATCCTGCCTGGCAAAGGCTCAGAGCCGCTGAGGGAACCGGCGGCAGAGGCAGGAGCGTCTTGGCCCAGGCGGCACCATCTGCGGCTGCAAGTGAGGGCGCGCCTGGCACAGAAAGCGAAAGGCGAAACGAATCCAGCTCCGCACACCGGCGAGAAGGAGATAAGGCAGGCCGGCTGGATCAGGCCCAGGGCCCGTCTCGTCCACCATCCTGTTCTCACAGTCGCCAACCAGTTCTGCCCACCTGAGATTCTCAGCCGCTGGGATTCAGAGGCATCATCTCTCTGGCCCCCCTGACTGGCAGCCGTCGATAGCCCTCTCCTTCTCCATGAACTTGTCTAATTCTCTTTTAGACCCATCCAAGCTGTTCGCCGCCCCTGCCTCTTGTGGGAAGGAGTTCCAGGGGTTAACTCTGCACTGCACAAAGAAGTTCTTTCTTTTCTCTGTCTTGAATCCAGCTTCGCTGGGTGTCAATGAGTCCCAGGGCTATGAGAGAGGAAGGAAACCCTTTTCTTTCTCCAGGCCAGGCAGTTTCTATCACATTGCCTCTTCCCCGCCTCTTCTCTAAACTGCAAAGTCCCAAACCCTGGGACCTTTCTTCACAGGGCAGTCCCACCCCCCCCTGATCAATTTGGGTCTCCTTTCCTGAATCTTTTCCAACTCAGCAATATTCCTTTCAAGGCAAGTCAAGCGGCACGGGATTCCAGAGCCTTTTCTAACGGCGCCATGATATTGGCCGTTTTATTTTCAATTCTCTTCCTGTTGCTCCCCAGCGTGGAATTTGCCCTTTTCCAACTGCAGCACCTTCACGGAGCTCTCTGCTGCAATCGCCAGGTGTCGCCCCTGGTGTGTGAGTGCCACCGAGCGTATATGTGAAATTAAGATATATATTTTTGCTCCGACACGCATCACTTCACAAGGATTTACTGCCCATCCACTCTGTTTGGAAAGGTCCTCTTGGCAGCTCTTGGCAATCTCTTTTAGTTCCAACAACCTGGAACGATCCACTGTCATCGGCAAACCTGGTCACCTCCCTGCTCCTCACTCTAGATCCTGCAGGAACAAGCCAAGAAGCGCAGGGCCCAACAGTACTCCTCTCCCTTTGGAGAACCGCCCAGTTACTCCTGCTCTCTGCTCCCGGAAGCTTTGCCCATTCCTTTCGTAAAATGATTTTCATTTGATTTTAGAAAATATAAACTTACAACAAAAAGTCAATTAAAAATCCGTATGAAGAGATTGCTCTGAATCACAAAACTCCCCCCCCCCGGGGTCCTCATGTCAATAATGACAACTGCATATCAATCCTTTATCCACATTTTTTTATCCATCTAAATTTTCCATAGTTTTTGTCACTTTACAAGTGTGATTAAAATCCTGCTAACGTTTCCATCTGCTTACAATGGTCTCCTAATTATACTTCTTCCCCCATTCTCTTTTTAATGTTCTTGTCCTCTTGGTCCCTGAGCTTCCCAGCTGATTTGGCCATTTTGGCAGAGTCCATCAACTTGATTTGCCGTTCTTCCCTGGTCGGGAGTGTTTCTTCCTTCCATCTCTGGGATAATATCTGTAAGGCCGTTGCCACATACATGAAAAGAAGCGTTGCCCATCCCTGACCCGCAAGAGGCTCTCTTCCTCTCTTTCCTCGACTTTCTCGGGAGCCTGTGGCAAGGCTGCTTGCAGAGAGCTCTGCAAAACTTCCAAGGACGCTGTGGCAACCAGACCCCCCTATCACCAGGGCGTCCAGCTCCCCGCAAGGATGCTGATCTCGGCAGCCCAAGTCCAGAAGCAGCACAAATGTCCCCACGGAGCCCTGGCTGGATCTGGAAGGGCAGTTTTGCTCCTGAGGGCCTGAATTTTGCAGCTGCCTGGAGAACTTTTCCTGTCTTCTCAGTCAGGGGGGACACAGCTGCTGAGGAGGCTTCCCTTCTGGCGGCGTCAGGTCGATGGCCGATGAAAAGCCTATCGCTTTCCCAGCATGCATCTCTCTCCCTCCACCACAGGTAGGCAGCCTAAAGCCCGGGGGCCAGATCCGGCTCAATCACCTTCTCAATCTGGCCCGCAGACGGTCCGGGAATCAGCGTGTTTTTACATGAGTTGAATGTCTCCTTTTATTTAAAATGTATCTGGGTTATTTGTGGGGCCTGCCTGGTGTTTTTACATGAGTAGAAGGTGTGTTTTTGTTTAAAATGCATCTCTGGGTTATTTGTGGGGCGTAGGAATTCCTTCATTTTTCATCCCAAAATATAGTCCACCCCCTCCCCACAAGGTCTGAGGGACGGTGGACCGGCCCCCTGCTGGAAAAGTTTGCTGACTCCTGCTCTACACACACACACACACACACACACACACACACCCCACCCTTTCCATTTCTCTTTCAGAACCAAGCAGGGCTGCAGAGTTTCACTTTAGGGGTCTTTGCTTGGAGGGGGGAATGGGCCTGGGAAACGGCCTGACCCCTCGGGAGATTCTGGAGACAGGCGCTGGGCACGTGGGGAGAAGGAGAGAGAGAGAACGAGAACAAACACCTCCCAATGACGACCCTCAGCCTTGCCTTTGGCCAAGCTGCATCCATGAAGCTCCTTGGAAGCTGCCAGCCTGGGAAGGAAGGAAGGAAGGAAGGAAGGGAGGGAGGGAGGGAGGGAGGCGTCCATTTCCAGGCCAAGACCAAGCGCCTTTCCAAAGCTTTCACCTGGAGGGCCGAGAATGGGACTCTGGAGACGCCAGTGGAAAACCTAGGCCTCTCCCTTCTCTCCACTTAGGAGAGACCTCAGTCAGGAGAGCAGGAGACTCTGAATCTCAGGGTCACGGGCAAAAAGATTCCTGCATTGCAGGGGGTTGGACTAGATGGCCTTCGTGGTCCCTTCCAACTCTACAATTCTACACATTGCCCTTCTTTTTTAAACAAAAACCAAGCACGCAAGGACACTGATGGGATCTGCTTCTCTGCCTTCCTTACCCCAGAGATGTCGGCCACCCGGTGGATCGGGACCTCCTTCTTGCTGTGCAGTCCTTTCCCGTTCTTTATCGCCCTGTTTTTTGGGGGGAAGCAATCAGATGGTCAAAGGAGCCAGAGGGGCAGCCCAGGAGGAGCCCCCTTCTGCTTCTGAGGGGCTTGTCCACCCCGAGAAGCAGCCCTGGGCTCAGAAGCCTGGATCTCCCTCCAAGGGCTTTTCCCTCCATGCCCAGAGCAGGGAGACTCAAAAGCAGCCAGAAATTCCTCCTGCCCTTAATGGCACAAAAGACTGAAATGCAAAACATACCACGAGCAGCTCTGTTCTCAGGGAAACCAGATTTCTCCCCAACTCTGGGCATCAGAGCCCAGCCTCTTGCCCCCTGCCAGGAGGGTTTGGAAAAAACCTTCCTTGGAGTTTTTTAAGCAGCGGTCGGATGGCCACCTGTAAGCGATGCTTTGGCTGCGATTCCTGCATTCAGGGGCCCAGTTAGTCCAGCGTCCTGCTCTCAGCAATTGCCTCTGCAAGACCAGCAAGGAGGATCCGGGCACAAGAGAAGCCCTCTCCCCCCTTCCCTCCTCTGGTTTCCAGAAAATGACTGGGGGGGGCAGAGCACAGCAACCCTGACTATAATAAATAATAATAATAATAATAATTTTTTATTTATACCCCACCCTTCCCGGTTCAGGAAAGCCAGGCTCAGGGCAGCTAACAACAAATTTAAAACACTTAATTGATGCTACAAAAAAACCAGCATAAAATACAGTATGAAACGTGAATAACAATAAAATAAAAAATCAGTTTAGGGGGAAATCCATCCAATAAACATTAGATGATCACCAGGGCTAGTTGGCTAAGTTAGTCCTATTTGGGCCAGTGAAGAGACCAGGGGAGAATTAGCTGCGGGATCCCAGAGCGGGTAATCTTCCTAAAAAGGGGAGGGGAGGGAAGTAAGGGGAATAAAAGATCAGGCTAAGTTCACATTGAAAGCCAGGCGGAAAAGCTCCGTCTTACAGGCCCTGCGGAAGGAGGTTAAATCCTGCAGGGCTCTGGTCTCATGGGACAGAGCATTCCACCAGGTCGGAGCCACTACTGAGAAGGCCCTGGCCCTGGGGGAGGATGATCTGACTTCCTTAGGACCCAGGATGTCTAGTGGCTCCCAGAGCCCTCTCCTCCTCTCTGAATTTGCCTCCTCCTCTTCTAAAGCCACCCCAGTTGGTGGCCGTCCCTGCCTCTGGGGTTCAACTCTGTTCCTCCTTCGACCTGCCCCAAACGGCCCCACGTTCGGCTTCCTGGGACGTCCACATGTTCTGGTGTGACGAAGCAGGGAGACAAACTTCTGCCCCCCTCCCCGCCTTGCTGCACCTTCCGCCTGCAGCTCCCCTGCCCCACAAGGACTCCCCACTTCTCCTAAAAGAGCTCTCCCCTCTCTTGCAGGAGCATCATCTCAGGAATCTAATGGGGGGGGGGAGAGAGAGCAGAGGGATTTCCAATTTGCAGGCAGGCTGTTCCTCCCACAGCTTCTCCACAATCATGGCCAGCTGCTAACCTTTTCCTTTTAATTGCATTTCCCTCTTCCTATCAAGCCTCCCTGAAGCAGAGGAGCTGCTGCCGCCGCCGCCTAACTACTTGCAATCTGAAAGGCGCCATCAGGCTCTGAGATGAGCAGGGCCCCCCTCCTGCCCCCCCCGAAACAGACACACACACACACACACACACACAATCCCTTCCGTCCTCCTTGCTCTCTGCTGCACCTTGGGATCCTCCAAAAGGAAGACCGTTCCGGTAGGAAGACCTATTTTGACAAAAGGACTCCCCTGCAGAGCGAGCGACTCTCCTTCCTTGGAGGGCTTTAAGCAGAGGACAGATGCCACCCTCTCGCGAATTATTCCGCTGCGATTCCTGCATTGTGGGGGGGTTGGGCTGGATGACCTTTGGGGGTCCCTTCAAAGCATACAAACCCAAGAGTCTATGGCCTCCTTCAGCAAAGGTCAAGCGGCCCTCTGTCAAGGGATTCTTCCGCTCCGATTCCCGCCTTGCAGGGGGCTGGACTAGATGATCCCCGCGTCCCCTTCCAGCTCCGCAATTCTCCGAGCCCGGCTCTCCCTCGGCTCCTGCTGGGCCCGCTCAATGGCTGCTCCCGTGCCGGGGCCTGCCGTTTGTTCAGCCGAGCCGAGGCGCACAAAACACTCCGGCGGGAGCGCCAGGGATCCCGCCGGGCCTTTGTGGAGAAGTCATTGAGCAGGCTGCTCTGTTGCAAAGGGCTGGCCGGCCGGCTGGCTGAATCCGGCCCCGGTTAAATGGGGCACCGGCAGCCGGCTGCTCACAGGAAGCCGGCCGCCACAATGCTGCATTTGGGGGGGGAGGGAGGGCATTCATTCATGCTGGCCAGCCTTCCCGTCTTTTGGAATACTGGACAAGAAAACACACTTAAGAAGGGGCAGCAGAGGACGTCATCTCAGATGAAGGGGGAGAGGCAAGGTGACAGTTAAGGGCATCCAGCTGCAGCAGGATGAGGCCCGAGGGGCCCTCTTCTCACAGCGGCCAGCCAGGAGCCCCGATGGAAGAAGCCTGGATGCAGGATCCAAGCACAGGAGCAGCCCCCTCTCTCTTGAGCCTGATAGCCCAGCAGAGGCCGGCCGCAGCCAACGCTGAGCTCATTTGGGCAGCTTTCGTGCCAATCGCATCGCTGGCATCCTGGGCTGCTCTGCTCTGTGGTCGTCTTCCTCTGCCAGGAGGAAGGGAAGGCGCACGAGGTCTGTGGGGGCAGCAGGACAGAGCCCTGGGGTGGGGCGCAGAGAGCGGGCGGCTGAGCGACCAGGGCAAACCTTGCACCGACCTTCCCGGTTGCCCGAGACCCCTGCGCTCTTCGCACTGACTGAGGTCCAAAAACTTGCTCATCCGCTATGCTCAGGCGCAAGGCGAGGCTCTCAGGGTTCGGTGCTGAAAACGGCAGGAGGGGAGAGCTGCTCTTGTGCTCAGATAATGCTTGCAGGTTTCCCATAATGCAGGCATGTCCAAAGTCCATTTCAGGGGCCTAATCCGGCCTGCCGCTTGATTTAATCTGGCCCCCGTGGCAGTATATGTCCTTGGTCGGCCCTCGCGCATGTTCACTCCATCAAATTTGGCCCTCTTTGAAAAAAGTTTGGGCACCCCTGCCATAATGGGAAGATGGCTGCCCACTGGGAGAATAGGAGGCTGGACTAGGGGGGCATCACGTTGGCACCAGGAGACCCTGACGCCGCTCTGGCCACAGGAAGGCCACGCTCCAAAACCCTGAGCAAGTGCTTTTGCCTTCCTGCATCAGGCTGGCAGCCTGGCCCACAGAGGAGCCCAGGGGGCCCCCCGCCCTGGCTGCTCAGCAGCTGGGCTCCTCCTCCCACCCCTCGTGGCTGGCTGGCTGGCAATGGGGCTCCACTCTCTCCTGCTCCCCTCCCCTCCCCCTGCGGGAGGAACATCCATCAGGGCTGGACCCACGCTGCGTGGGGCCGGCCTGGTAATTGGCTTCACAGTCCCACCCGCTCCCCGGCGCCAGCCGTGCCGCTTTGCCGCCTTTGCTCTTTTCCGCGCTCGGCTGAGGCGCCCGCTTCTCGGCTGCAGGCTTGCAAGTTTTCAGCCCAGCTGTCAACGAAAAGGCTCGGCTAATTGGTGGCCGACAGACTCTTAATAAGGGCGGGGGGAGGCGGGGAGAGATTCACGGGCCCCCCTGCGTCACTTGACAAGGACTTGCCATGCTGCTGGCTGCAAGAAGGGGCTCTCCGGCAGAGGCGGGCAAGGGGCTACAGAGGGTCCGATCTCGCCCCCCCCAAAGCAAGGCACAGCAGCTACAACCGAGAGACCTTGCCAGGCTGGTCTGAGGGGCCCCAGAGAACCCTGACGCCCACCCCACTTGCCCCGAGTCCAGCCTGCGATGCCACCCACCACCCACCAAGCCCTCTCCCAGGAAAAGCCAAGGGGTCCTTCTCCTGCTGCCCCACAGGAGAGGGCTATGCTCTGCCCTCCACAGTTGCAGCCAGTCGATCCTCCTGCCCCACGGGACAGAAGAGGGCTCTTGGGTTCAAGTCCTGCTTGTGGGTTTCTTCCATACAGAGCCGCTGGCCTGATCCTGCAGCCTCTCTCCTTCTGTGCCCATGCGCCATGCGCCATGAGCCAGCAAGGAGCGCTTGGTTCAAGGAGGCCCCCTCCAAGGACACCCGCCATTCTTGGCCAACGGCTCCCAGGAGCTGGCAGGCAGAGGGGGGCTCAGGATAGCAGCAGGGGGCCCCAGCAGAGGAATTTCATTGCCTTGTATTAGAGAATCATAGAATCCGAGGATTGTAGCGCTGGAAGGGACCCTGGGGGTCATCCAGCCTGACCCCCTTCAATGCAGGAATCTCAATGCCTAACCCCCTTCCGAGGGAGACGGCTTGAATCTCCTTCCCCATGAAGCCACAGGAACAAGCTTGTTCCCTCTTTCATGGGGCAGCCTTTGAGAAATTGGAAGATAGCTAATCCAATCTCCTCTCAGTCTCCTCTTCGCCATGCTAAGAAGAGACTGAGCGGCCAACAGGTGGCATAAAAATAAATGCTCATGCAGAGGAACACATTTCCTGGCACTGGGCTGCACCACACGCCCACACCCCAAGCAAGCTAGACCCACGGCTCGGGGTCTCCTCTGGCACAGCCGCCGGCCTCCCCAGCTGGCCTGCCCCAAGGAGCAAAGTGGGGAGCCTCTGCAAAGGGGACCTTTGCTCCTCGGCCTCCCAAGAGCGGCAGAATTCGCCCTCAGGCCTCCAAGGGACCTGCAGCGCAGCTGGTGGCCGGAACAGCCTGTCCCTGGGCAGCAGGGAGGTGTGGGTCCTCGCCAGCAGCTGGCAGCCGCCTGGGCATGGATCAGGGCCCAAAGGGGCTCCCTGCCACCCTGGGAAGCGGGTGGAAGACCCCCTGACTCCCAGGCCTCCACATTCCTTGTCCCATCTCCCCCCACCCCCCACCACGGAAGAGGTCCAGTGAGCATAGCCCCATTGCCCAGCAGTCCTGAAAGGGCACCGAAAGGGGATCCGCCCTCTCTCTCGCCCCCCCAGCCCTTTCCAGGCACTGCCTTGCTGCTCCCCCCCATTGCTCCTCAGCCCCCTTCTCTCCTGCCCCCCCCACTCACCGAGCCTCGGCCGCCAGCAGCTCGTCGTAGTGCGAGGACCGCTGGTCATCGTCCTGTCGGTAGCGGATGACGGAGGCCAGGCCCTTGCTGACCAAGGCTTCGGCGATGTTGCTGCAAGAGAAAGAGGAGGAAAAGGTGTGAGTGGCGGGAGCTGGAATCACAGAATTGGAGGGTTGGAAGGGGACACCCAGCAGCCATCTAGCCCAACCCGTTGCAACGCAGGAATGACAGATCAAGAATCCATGACAGACGGACACCCCACCTCTGATTAAAAACCTCTGATGAAAGAGAGTCCGCCTTCTTTGAAGGACAGCCATTTCACTGTTCTTCCTAATGTTTAGTCCTTACAATTTGGACCCACTGGTACAGGATCTCCCCTCTGGAGCGGCAGAAAACCCCTCGACCCGAACCCAATCTCTACTATGCCAGCTGATTCACCCTGCAGAGACCAGGCCTGGCCAGCCCCCTCCCTCCCTGCGAGGTGGGCCTTGGGGTGCTGAGCTTACGGAGGGGCTCTGGGCTCTGTAGCCATTCTTGAGCTCCTATACCAATGATTTAGGAACTTTCACCACATTGAAATCATCATCATCATCATGTTTTATTTGTATCCCGCCCTCCCCGGCCGAGACTGGGCTCAGGGCGGCTAACATCAAATACATAACATTGGTATAAAATCAAACAATAATTAAATTACCTCTTAAAAAAAAAAGTTGGGATCAAACTAAGCCAAGTCTTACTGCCTCTGCAATTTTTTCTAAATGCTGAATGGAATAACACATGAATCTGACTTTTGGTGAATTTGTAAGTAAACTTTTTTTTTTTTAACTTGCCAAATGCATAATGTTTTTCTATCTGAGGGAAGAGGGGAACTTTCGAAGGAACTCAAGGGATGTATTTTAAAGGTCTAACAGCCTCTGCTTCCATCCCTGCCTGCTGTGGGAGTTCCGTAGTTTAACTATGAGCTGCATGAAGATGGACTTCCTTTCATCCGTGTCACCATTCTCCTAGAAGCAGGGGGACCCCAAGGGGGGGGAGGAGACCTGTGGCTGAAAGACCCCAGGGTTTCTGTTCACCCCCGGCACCCCCGGCATGCAGGACAGGGAGGGGGGAAGCAGGGGGGGTTCTGGCGCTTCCCTCTTTTTTTGCTGCTGTTTCCCCCTTGGGAGGTGGGGTGCAGAAAAATCCTCACCTGCTCATTTTAATTTATGTATTCCCCCCCCACTAAAATTTACACACTGTGTGGTTATTATTTTAAAAACAAAATCAAAGCAGTTTACAAAACGATAAAGCAATAAATTTATTAAGAAAAAAATTACAACCAAGCACAGGGAAAGTTACAAGACTGAAACAGGTTTAAACTCCCATCAACTTTGCATGCATCTGGGTCAGGAATGCTTTGCAGAGGACGGGAAAGGCGTTTGCCTCATATCAAGAGGCAGGGAGTTCCACAGGGCAGGCTCTTGCCAGGCTGACAGATGGATTTCCTTTGAACTATTTGAAAAGCAATTGTAACCAACAAATTACGCTAGTAGGACTACAATAGGTTTTGTAAGGAGGAATGTATGAAGTGCTACAAAGTAGATAAAGAACAAAGATATTGGTTATGAGTTTTAAATGTACCAGGGAAAATAAGAAATGTATACTAAGAGATTAGATTGGAAAATTTTCAGACAGGACTGATGGAAGTAAAAAAAAATGAATAAGATATAAAAATACGTTGAATTACTGTTGAAAATGGCATGTTAAAAAAAACTAATAAAAATTTATATAAAAAGAAGGAAAAAAAGAAAGATGGATTTCCTACACTGAATGGGGATTAGCTGGCAGTGCCAGTCCTGCCAAGCGCAGCGGCCAAACAGGCGTATGTGGAGCAAGGCGATTTATTTCCCTCCACGTGGGGATGGCTTCAAAGCGAAGAATGCCAACTGTTCCAGTGCGTTTGAAGCCAGCGGCCAGGCATCAGGCTTGGGGGGGCTCCCAGAGACGTGGGCGCCCCTCCTGGGAGGCGCAGGCAGGGCTTGGCACTGTGGGCTCAGCTGCCAAACTCCCACAGCCCCGGCAAGGGCCTCAACCCTCCGGCTCCTCTGCCGGGAGCCTCTCTGCCTCCGCTGTGACTGGCACGAGTCCAGTGCCCACCACATCCCAGCGCATGAAGGAGGCCCTCACGGCCGGCCTGGAGCTGCTGCTGCTGCTGCTGCCGCCTCAAGGGGGTGGGCGGGCAAGCGAAGAGCCAGAAATAGGCCGGGCAGAGATGGGGGAGACGAGCGGGGAAGATCTGCAAAGGAGGAATCGGCTGCCAAGCGAAGCGGCAGCTGCAGAGGCACCGCGCGAAATGCCAGGCAGCCAGGAATAAGCCACCGCTGCCGCACCTCCTATTTCAGGCAGGCAGTTGCCGGGCACCCGCGGCACGCGGAGCCCACCTTCCCTGGCAGCTGCCTCCCACCCGGCGCAGAAGAATCACGAGCGGCTCCAAGGACGTGAAGGGGGTGCCCTCCCCCCACAAGGCAGCTGCAAGCAGCAGCCCCCCAGAGAGGAAAGGAAGCACCCCAAGGCGGCTCCTCTTTGGGCAGCTGCGCCCCCCTCTCTCCTTGCCTCCTGCCGCCCCACCCAAAGCTTGTGGGGAGCTGGGAGGAGGCCAGGGGGGTTCGGGGCTTCTCCCCGGGAGAAAAAGCTGCCCGTGCCCTGTTTGCACGAGGGCAAGGAGCGCTGAGGCTCCGCTCTGCGCAGGCGGCTCCCACCCGCTGAAGTTTGGCACCTCTCGCCTTCGCCAGGCGAGGTTGTCGGTTGGTGTTTGTGCTGATGCTCAGAGCCAAAGCTTGGAGGGGAAGAGGGGGGAGAAGGGCAGTCGTGGGGGGGGGGCGAGGCAGCACAGGCTGGCAAGGTTTCCCCATTCAGCATCTGAGCCCCGCAGGCAGTGCCCGGAAGCAGCGAGGCACATCCCTGGCAGGCAGCCATGGGAGAGCCAGCTCTCCACGGAAGCCATGCCAGCCAGGGGAGCCACCAGGGGCTGTGTGCCCGCGAAAGGGGCTACGCTGCACCAAGGCCAGCCGGGCACAAGCGCCAGGGAGGCAGAGGAGCCTCCTGCGTCCAATTCCCAGGTGCAGGGCAACCTGCCTGCCCAGGAAGGGTGAGCCCGGTGTCCTAGGGGTAGGGGCACCTCCAAGCAAGCCTATCTCAGCTACAGCCCAGGAGCAGAGGCCCAGTTTGGGGGCTGCAAAGAGCATTGCCTGCGGGTACCAGGGCACGGAGGAGGGTGAGGAGAGGAGAAAGCGCTTCTCCCCGCTTTCTAATCTCACAGGGAGGAATGCCACCCAGTTTTACTCAAGAGAAGACCTGTTCCTGGAATCACAGAATGGTGGAGCTGGAAGGGACCCCTGAGGATCACCGAGCCCAGACACCCCCAAACTCAGCCCTCCAGATGTTTTGGGACTATGATTCCCATCCTCCCCGACCGCTGGTCCTGTTAGCTAGGGATGATGGGAGATGTAGTCCCAAAACATCTGGAAAGCCTGATCTAGCCCAAACCCCTAAGCTAGCCATGTCCATTAATTTCAGTGGGTCTGCTCTGTGCAAAACTGAGCTCAAATGCCACCCGGGGGGTCCAACCCTCTGGGGGGGTCTGCTTGGCCCTCAGAACTCTCCCCTCGCACCCCCCGCCCTGGCCTGCATCCCGTCCTCATATGACCTCTTGCTTTCGGGCAAGGAGGCTTGCATGAAGCTCTGCAGGAATGCTCCTGCTGCCCAGAGGGGAAAATGGATGCTAACTCTCCTGCCCCTTTCTGCCTCTGGCCCCACCCCACCCTGGCCCCGCCTCCCCCTGCCCCGCTGCTCCAAGGGGGCTCTGTCCCTGGGTGCTGCCATTCAGCATCTGGCAGGCTCTTCCCCAGAGGCAGCCGCATCTTTGCCAGATGCCAGCCAAGCGAGGCATCTAATAGGAAGCGATTTGCAGAAGAGGAGCAGCAAGGGGGGGGGGTCTGGAGCGGCTGCCTGGGGTGGCGGGAGGCAAGGAGCACAGCCAAGACAGGACCCAGGCGCTTGCAGGCTTCCCTTCCTGCCTTCCTCACGCAGCACATCGTTAACCTATGGAACTCCCTCCCACGGGAGGCAATGATGGCCGCCAACTGGGATGGCTTTAAAAGAGGACTGGACAGAGTCCTGGAAGCGGCTAGTAGCCAGGGCGGCTCTGCTCTGCCCTCCACAAACAGCAGAAACTAGACTTCTGAATGCTGGTTTTTATTTATTTCATAAAATTTACACATTGCTCGATTGTTTTAGAAAACCCTCAAAGGGTTTTACAAAAAGATAAAACCATAAACAGACCAGTGTTAAAATACTAAAAGAGACTTAACAATACTTTCTAAGCAATTGGGTAAAGGTAAAGGGACCCCTGACCATGAGGTCCAGTCGTGGCCGACTCTGGGGTTGCACACTCATCTCGCTTCACTGGCCGAGGGAGCCGGCGTACAGCTTCCGGGTCATGTGGCCAGCAGGACTAAGCCGCTTCTGGCGAACCAGAGCAGCGCATGGAAACGCCGTTTACCTTCCCGCCGGAGGGGTAGCCATTTATCTACTTGCACTTTGATGTGCTTTCGAACTGCTAGGTTGGCAGGAGCAGGGACCGAGCAATGGGAGCTCATCCCGTCACGGGGTTCAAACCGCTGACCTTCTGATTGGCAAGCCCAAGGCTCTGTGGTTTAGACCACAGCACCACCCATGTCCCTAAGCAACTGGTAGGCTAGTCTAAACGTTTTCATCAGCCACCAGAAAGAGTGCAGCAAAGGCTCCTGCTTGATCTCAACTGATTCCTCAGTTTCCGGAAGCGCCGGGAGGAAAGAGGGATCCTGTGCTCAAACGCAGCAGACTTTGGATGTTCCCACCTTCCTTCCTCCCGCAGATGCGCCTGCCTCCTCCCCGCATCTCAGCAAAAAAAGGGCAGCGCTTGGAGGGATCTGCCCAATGTGCAGCTGGGGCTCCAAATCCCTTGGCAGAGACTGGCACCTTCCCTCTGCACCCCTCTGGCCAGGAAGCGGCCAGCTCCCTCTGGCACCAAGAGAGAGCAGAGGCAGAGCTGCCCCTTCGAGACACAGAGGGCAAGGGGACCCTGGTCTCTGCCCCCCTCCATTCCCATGATGACCACTCTGCCCTCTGGCTTGCCACTGCCAGACCGGCATGGGAGGAGCTGCTACAACACTGCATGGCTCCCATGCCCCGGGAACCGCGGGCATCAGGGTGGCGAGGGACCCAGAAAGGCCTTCCACGCTCAGCACCGCAGAGGCGTCCTGCCACTCCCATCTTGAGGAGTGTCAGGGGGCTCCTGGGGTTCCCTTGCAGTTCTGCGATGCCCTGGCTCTGTGATCTGGCACCAACCTTGAGGGGCACACGGGGCAGGACGCTCTCTGCAAACAGCTCTCTGCTCTCTGCAAACAGCTGTGCCCACCCCTCCCTCGGAAGCCCCCCTTGCACCACCTACCAATCGGCCGATCTGCCCTTTCGCGGCTGAGGTTGGGGGTGGCAGTCAGAGGGAGAGCAGAGCAGGGGGGTAGGAGACACAAATGCAAACCCCCCCACCCCCCTGAGGGACTCTTTCCACAACCAGCATATCGAATGTACATGCAACGGTTGGCTCCATCATTTGTCGTGGTCGAAGGGCAGCAAGCGCCCGGCCCCACGGTGCCAAGATTAATGGCAGAATCATCATGCATGGCGTATCCAAGGCCTCTGCAGCCCCACAAGCCATTAGGGGGCTGGGGAGGGGGGGCAGGTCCTAGTGGAGGGAAGCAGAGAGGCTGCAGCCACGGATGCTGCCCAGCATGGCCTGCTTAGGGGTCTCTGGGGGTCTCCAAGCCTTCCTCACCAGCCCATGAAAGGGGATCCTAGAACCGTAGAATTAGAAAAGACCCCAAAGGGGCAATGCAGGAATCTCCACGAAAGCCCCCGAGCTCTGCTGAAAAAGCTCCCAGGAAGGAGAGCCCATCACACTCGGAGGGAGTCCGCTCCACTGCCAAACAGCTCTCACTGTCCTTCATCGTGTTTAGTCAGAAACCTCTTTCTTCCCGTTTTAACCCAGTCCAAAGTGTTGGTACTGACGGCCTCAGCCCTGCATCCCTAAAGGAGCGTCTCCACCTCCATCGTTCAGCCCAGACGCTGAGGTCCAGCGCTGAGGGCCTTCTGGTGGTTCCCTCCCTGCAAGAAGCGAGGCCGCAGGGAACCAGGCAGAGGGCCTTCTCGGTGGTGGCACCTGCCCTGTGGAACACCCTCCCACCAACGTCAAGGAGATGAGGAATTACAGTGGTACCTTGGTTCCCGAAAGGCTTAGTTGTCAGACAAATAGGCTCCTGAACGCCGCAAACCCGGAAGTAAGGGTTCTGGTTTGCAAAGGTTTTCCGGAAGCCGAACGTCCGACGTGGCTTTCATGGCTTCCGACTGAGTGCAGGAAGCTTCTGCAGCCAATCGAAAGCCTCGTCAAACAGACTCCCAGAACTGATTAAATTCAAGAACCAAGGTACTACTGTATATATCATCTGAAGGCAGCCCTGTGTCGGGAAGCTTTTTAATGTTTGATGCTTTATTGTGTTTTTATATATGTTGGAACACAATTTCACGCCCATCTCCAGGGGCATTTGCAAACGCCGCCCAGCTGCTTTCCCCTGGCCTTTGCACAGCCAAAGCCTCTGTCAGGGTCCAGGGCAGGCAAGCCCAAGACCAAGGATCTGAGCTCGGGGCGAAGGTGGGGACCCGCAATTCCCTCCCCGCGGGATCCCAAGGCGATCCAGCCAGCCCACCCTCACCCACCCAGCTGCCTTCGTGGCTCGAAAGGCCCAGCAACAGCAGCTCTGGCATTTGGGGGGTGGCAATGGGGTGACTCTCTCACGCAAGACCCACATGAAAGAATGGGGCTGAGTGAGCGCGGATGAAAGCTGGAGAGGGAATCTTGTTAAGCTGTGAAAGAGCAGCGTTGCCTCTCAAAGGGAGGCTGAGCGAGAAGCAGCCGCAGAGAGCTCTCCGCTCTCCCACAAACGCGGAACACAGACCCCAATCTCCTCCGGAAAATCGAGCCGGGAGGCTTTCAAAGGCAGCCTCTCTCCCTGGTTGTGCAGAATCCTCTGCCTTAAGTGTGCTCTTGACAGATCAGACGCGGGGCAAACGCCCCGCAGGCAGCAAGAGGCAGGCGCGTCATGGGGCACCCTGGCACGGAAAGCTCTGGGCAGGGACGGAGAGGCCCAAACCCCACAGGGCAGGAGGGCAGGCCCAGCCCCCATCTCCAAAGCTCAGCAGGGCTTGGCCACAGGGAAGCTGCCTTCCACATTGCTCCACCTGGCTCAGTGCTGCCTACACTGGCTGGCAGCAGCTCTGCAGGGTTTCAGGCAGAGTCTCTCTCGCACTCCGGGCCGGAGAAGCTGCTGGGGACAGAAGCAGGTGCCCTCAAAGGCGGGGCTCGGCCCCTGAGCTGTGGTCTTGGGCACAGACGAGCCCCTCTCTGCCCGGGGGCCCCCAAGGTCTTCTGCCTCTTGCCCACGAGTCCTGCCACTGAGCTACAGCACCAGCCGTGAGAAAGGGAGAAGAGGTCCCTTCTAATTCTATGACGCCTCGGCATCCACTGCCAGCTGCTGGGCACCACAAGTGGCCTTCTCCCACCCTGGGGCCCCTGAGTGGCCCCCTGAGAAGACATTGCAGGGCTGGGTGGCCCACCCAGGGCCCTTCTGGCGTCCTTCACAGCCCCCCTCCCGTACCCAGTACCGGATTTACGTATAAGCTAAACCAAGCTATAACTTAGGGCCCCTCTCTCCTAATAATAATAAAAATTTATTATTTATACCCCGCCCACCTGGCTGAGTTTCCCCAGCCCCTCTGGGCGACTCCCAATCGAGGGTTAAAGACAGTACAGCGTTAAATATTAAAAACTTCCCTAAACAGGGATGCTTTCAGGTGTCTTTTAAAGATAAGATAGCTCCTTATTTCCTTGACATCTGACAGGAGGGCGTTCCACAGGGCAGGCGCCACCACCGAGAAGGCCCTCTGCCTGCTTCCCTGTAACCTCACTTCTCGCAATGAGGGAACCGCCAGAAGGCCCTCGGAGCTGGATCTCATGGGGCTCCCCCAAAAATATACTTCTTCTTAATTGTATTTCACTATTAATATACTTCTTCTTAATTGTATTTCAGTTCAACAATTACTTTGATAAAATACGTATTTTGTGACGTGCAAATGGCTTGAGATACCTATTAGGTCCATAAATGACCATATAGCACATATTCAACACAAAAAACAGTGACCATTTGTTGTTGACAAAGGATAGCTGGACATAGAAAGGGCCCCATTACCTTCAGGAGCTTAAAGAAGAAGAGTTTGGATTTGATATCCCACTTTATCACTACCCAAAGGAGTCTCAAAGGAGCTAACATTCTCCTTTCCCTTCCTCCACATCAAACCTAAATCAGGCCCTGCCCGTACCCCGTACTCACATGCCGCCAATGGTGACGGTGGCGCAGGTGCGCTCCGAGAAGGCAGGGGCCGTGTCTGTGGCGCTGCTGGCCGGCCGGATGTAGTCCACCGTGACGTTGACCTGGAAGGAGAGGCAGGCAGAGGTGAAGGAGCAGCAGGGCAGAGGCTCAAGGAGGGGAGACCTCGTGGCAGAGAGAAGGAGGCGCCTGTTGCCATGGAGAGGCAGAAAGATCTGCCCGGAGGAAGCCATCCCAGCTCAGTACCAGCTGGGCAGTTCCGCTGCTTCTGGGGCAACCGTGGACTGGGATGGGCAGGGCCAGGGAGCGTGGCAGGAAGCACACCGTGAGAACAGGTCCCAAAAATACGAGGTTAGTTATTTCACAAATAAAGTTGAGAAAAGACGGTATAGATGAAGTATAATGTGTAGCAGCAAAAAACAGCCATGATACGGGTGGAAGGGAAGTCAATTATCTTAGCGGAATGGATACTGAAAAATGTTTAATTCACCTTTTTTCTGAAAATTGATAAATAGAATCTTAAAAAAATACGTGAGGTTTGTTTGGGGTGAGGCCGCAGGAGGGATCTGAAAACCTCCCCACCACAACGGCACATCAAATTGATGGACTAAACCGAAATGGCAAAACTAACCGGGCAGCTCAGGAATCAAGAAGAGAAGACATTTTTTAAAGAATGGGAAATGTTTATAAATGTACATTGGGCGCTCAGGTTGTGAACGTGATCCGTGCAGGAGGCACATTCGCAACTTGGAGCGGTCGCAACCTGCAGCGCCACGTCTGCGCAGGTTGCGATTCAGCACTTCTGTGCGTGTGCAAAGCGCGATTTAGCGCTTCTGTGCTTGCGCAACCGCAGAAACCTGGAAGTAACCCGTTCCAGTATTTCTGGGTTTCGGCGCGTCCGTAACCCAAAAAAAACGCAACCTGAAGCGTCTGTAACCCAAGGTATGACTTTATATACAAAATCATTGTAGGTTTCTAGTTGTAATGGTATAAAAGAATATGAAAAAATGGTTTTTTATAAGTATAAATTCAAGGTTATAATAATTTAAGATTAAAGATCTGGGTAGAATAAAGAAGGAAAGAAACTGCTGAGCTAATAAATTGAACTGGAATACAAAAAAGGGAGGTATGAGGAGGTCCGAGAACCAAGTAAATGAAAAATAATGTGATGAAAAGATTGACTATTTTTAACTATTTTTATTTTGTATTTTGTATTTTTTCTTTTTCTATTTTGTAATGTAAAAATCTTAATAAAATTTTTATAAAAAAAACAAAAACAAAATCATTGTAAACAGGTTAAAGCAATAGCAGGATTTTAAACACACTTGTAATGTAGCAGAAAGCATAGATAATCTGGGGAAATGAAAAAAATGGAGAAGTATTGATATGCAGTTGAAATAGAATCAATAGGGTGGGGGGAAGTCAGGAGATTCAGAGTAATCTTGGTAATTAGATCTGGAAATGGTTTTGTTGTATGTTTATATTTTGGAAAATCAAATAAAGAATTGTTCCACACACACAGAAAAACCTCCCCACCTTTTTAGTCTGCAATCCATCGCATGGAAGAGCAGGCAGGGACTCCCTTGCCCTGCAAGGACGGAGGGGAGAGGAAGCATCCACCCCCATCTGCTCCCCCCGCTGCCTCCCTGCAAGCCTGCTCACTCCTCTGCCTTAAGGCTGGGGGTGGGAAGCCAGAGGCCCCTTGAGCCCCCAGGCAGGCAGAGCAAGAGCCGAGGGCAGCCTGGGACGAGCCTTGCCCCTGGCGGACACTTCCCTGCTGCGAAGGGAGCATCTGATGCGCCAGCAGGAGGCCCATCAAGGCAGCACATGCTGCAGCAGCGAGAGCCTGCCAGGTTGTGCACAGACAAGGCGCTTGGAGGCTCAGGCAGGCGAAGGCGGGCGCTGGCCCAGGAATGGACAAGAAGCACCAGCACCCAGGAGGAGGAGGAGGAGGAGGAGGAGCTGCAGGCCCAGAGGCAGAAACGCCCGAGGCTTCCAGCTTCCGCTTGATGGATCACAAGAGCATCTGAATGCAAGAAAAGCTTGCTGGATCAGGCCCAAGGCCTGATCAGATGCCTCAATGGCCACGGAGGCAGGGCAGAGCTCAGTGGTGCCATTTGGGGAAACGGGTGCAACTGCACCAGGCACCGGGTCCGTGTCTTGAGCAGCTCATCTCGTGCGCCTGGATTCTGCTTAGAGTTAGCACAACAGCTGCCCTGGGTGGCATAGAGACATCCAAGGCTAAATGACTGAAACAGGATTCCTCCACCCTCCCATCCTCTGAGGAATACGGGGACGTTCAGGGCAGGCAGGGATAAAGCCAAGGCTACGTTCAGAAGCATTTGCAGGAGTGTGAAATATTCACCGAAAGGTGGTTTTGCTGGGTTACCCGACCTTGCTGGAACAGACGGCGGGTCAGTATCCAATTCCCCACCACCACCACTCATGGCCAACGTGAGCAGGGAGGGTGCGGGCAGGAGCTCTCCTCCAGGAACACCCTGCCTGAGCCTTTCAAGACTATCAGAACCTGCAAGAGCTGCGTGGTCCCCCCCCCCTTTCCAGAAAGACACATCTGGAGGATTAGTCAAACAAAGAGCTCGACACACACATGCGCTAACTCTTTGGGAAATGGTGCGATGCAGCCAAGTGCAGGCGCTCGGCTTCTCTGTGCAGATCAGGAACAGTTCTCGGCGCATTTCATGCAAATGATCTGCATCTCGCCTCTTGACAGAAGCATTTGGAGCAGCTACATGCACAAGTTAACGGCACGGCAACAGATACCAGCCCTGAAAGCGTCAGAGACGAACTCAATCACTGACCCATTCATGGAAAGGCCACTAAAACGCCCAGAATAAACTGATGGAGCATCAGAAGGACGAACGGCCCCCACAGTTAAGTGCTGGTTGAATAGGCAGAGGGGTCAAGCCTTGCAAATGAGGTGCAGGGAGGGCAGGAGACCTCCTCCCCAACACAGGACCTCCGCAGCCAGCGAGACGCTCAGAGGGGTGGGACCCAGGCCCCCACCCTATCAGAATTCCCTCCTTCCCGTTGCTCATAGCAGGCTTCCTCAACCTCAGCCCTCCAGATGTTTTTGGCTACCCTGATCCCTAGCTAGCAGGACCAGTGGTCAAGGATGATGGGACTTGCAGTCTCAAAACATCTGGAGGGCCGAGGTTGAGGAAGCCTGGCTCATAGAATCAGAGAGCTGGGAGGGACCCTCAAGGTTCATCTAGCCCAACCCCCCCCAGCAATGCAGGAATATCAGATGAAGCATCCATGACAGAGGGCCACCGAAGCTCTGATTAAAAACCACCAAGGAATGGGAACCCACCACCTCCCGAGGAAGCCCATTCCACTGCCAAAGAGCTCTAGCTGTCGGAAGGTTCTTCCCGAAGTCTCCAGGAAAGGAGTCTCCAGGAAAGGGGGGGGGTGTTTCCCTTCTGAAGCCCTGCCCAGTCAGTGCAGACAGCACTGAGTTCGATGGACCAACTGGCTGTATCACAGGTTCTGAGGTTTCCCTTATTGCTCCTGGTTTTCAAAAGTGCTCCTCCCCACCGCCACCCTTTCCATATAGTTTCAGAAGACCTGGGAGGGGCAGAATTTACACTTGTCCAGGTAGATTGAGGGTAGAGCATGGGTGATTCTTCTTCTGAAGGGACGTGGGTGGCGCTGTGGTCTAAACCACTGAGCCTCTTGGGCTTGCTGATCAGAAGGTCGGCGGTTCAAATCTGTGTGACGGGGTGAGCTCCTGTTGCTCCGTCCCAGCTCCTGCCAACCTAGCAGTTCGAAAGCATGCCAGCACAAGTAGATAAATAGGTACCACTGTGGTGGGAAGGAAAACAGCATTTCTGTGCGCTCTGGCTTCCATCACGGTGTCCCGTTGCACCAGAAGCGGTTTAGTCCTGCTGGCCCCACTGTCTGCAGACAAACGCTGGCTCCCTCGGCCTGAAAGCGAGATGAGCGCCGCAACCCCAGAGTCGCCTTTGACTGGACTTTACTGTCCAGGGGTCCTTTACCTTTTTTTTACATCTTCTTCTAAACTCTTTTCCCTGGTTGCATGGCTTGGGGGGGGGATGTATCCCACAGCTGCCAGAGAACAAACTGGTAGTTTAAGCTGAACTGCAGTAAGAAAGGGAGGGAGGAGCCAGGAGGTCTTTGTTCAAGACACTTTCTCCAGGAAAGACCCCCAACGGGGAGACCGGCCATAGCAGTTTCAAGGCTGTCATGTGCAGGGTGAGATCTCAAAGAGGGGTCACCTATGTGAGCCCCCATCTGCAGGCACCTTTGTAACGCGGAGCTGGTCTGCCAAAGGGCCTGGTGCCCGAAGCCAGCTCCCCACAGATCACCCGTTCTTCCGGTAGAATTCAACCAACGTCTAATGAAATCGCTTGGAAGCGCCGTGTGCAAACGAAATTTCCGTGTTGGGGGGCAGAGAAGCCACCCCACAAGGTGGTGCCCACGGGAAGGAAAGAACTTGGCGGTTCCTGCGCACAAAGCGCCCACAAGCCGCTGTGGCCTCGGGGCTCAAGGGGCTTGGAAGCCGCCACTCCAGGCAGGTGGGTCACAGGTGTTTGGAAGCAAACAAGGACTCTTCAAGCGAATGGTGGGAGGTGGAGGGTTTCAAGAGCAACTCATGCGCTGCCAGGAGGAACACCGGCTACTGATGCATCATCGCATGCATACATGCATGCACACACACAGCGCCTCTCTCTCTCCCTCTCTCTCAGCGCCTTCTGGGTTCATCCCTCCAGCTCCACAGGCCCCCTGCCACCGCCGAGGGGAGGCAGAGACTGGCAGCCTTCAAGCCCATCAAGGCCACGAGAGCGCCTTTAAAGCCCTTTCAAAGTGTCTGGTCTCTTACAAGCCCTGCTTTGCGATGAGCATAACAATGCAAAAAGGTGATGCCGACTCAAGCGGATCACATACTCTCTCTCTCTCTCTCTCTCTCTCATGCGCGGCAAAGGAGCTTCTGCCAGGAGAAAGCCAATTAAGGGTAAGGGGTTGAAGCAATTCCTGGCAGGGAAACTATTGCCATGACAAACGGGCAGGGGAAAGAGGCGGCCCGGATTCCACAAGGCGGGTTTGGGAATCAAAACGGCCATGG